GTGCTCACATACTCCTGTGTTGAATATCAGAGAAAAAAAGCTCAAGACTGGGCTGGAATATTGTGTAGGAAGTGCAGCTCTGTGCATCAGGCAAGAGGAAAAGCCAGCACTGAGCAGTCCTCACACTGTGACCACCAGCCCTTCTCACTGCTAAACCAGGCAGGAATCGTGCTTCCCTGGTCTTGCTGTCTCTACCCTTGAAAGCACATTTGGCTGGAGATGTCTGAAAGCTGCCTTCTGCCAAATCTGTGCAGTCAACCACAAATACAGCACACGGGAGAACCCCTTCTAGAGCCTCTTTTAGCCTCATTTCATAATGAAATTAAACATACGCTATCTGCCTGCCAGCCCTGTCACTCTTCTGAACACATCAGCTAATTTTAACAAAGCTTAAGGGCAGAACAGAGGTCTTAAGACTGTACATTCTTGCAAATGTTGTGAAAATCAGAGGCTGCTGCCTCTGGGTACTGAAGCAGCACTCACCAGGGTGTGCAGGAGACATGGGAAGCAAGAGAAGCAGAAACATGCCTGAAAACCCAACCCTTTGCAATTCTACTGCCCAAAGTCTGTTATTGATTTGACACTTTTAAAACAAAATAATCAATTTGAGTGCATCTCATTTAATTAACATGAAGCTTGTGTGACTGTATTTGCGTTTTAAGGGACTGTGACTAGGAAAGGACATAAGTAAATGTGAGTGCATGTAAACAGAACTGCATCCTTCAATCGGGGGGGGGCAGGGGGTGGTGTTCAGCTGTTACACATTCTGCATGACAGTAGCCAGAAAAAAAAAAGTATGTGTGAAGCAGCAGATTGGCCACAGCATATGTTGTCTTTTGCTTGATAGGGATGTTTAAGGAATGTGAAACATAGGGAAGAGAAGTCAGGTTGTAGCAGGGAGGCGATGAGGGCAGGGACCCAGTGATGTTAAGAACAAATATATTGAAAGCAAAGGAAAACATGGCCTTTTCTCAAAGAAATAAAGACGTGTGTATGGATAAATACACATAAATAAAGACATGAGTATGGATTAAAAGTTTACTTCAATTACTGTGAATTTGGAATTCCCATCTGATTATCACCAGTATCAGCCAGACCTTGCATAGAGCATAGTTCGTCCTTCATTCACTTTGCAAAGAAAACAGAAAATATACAAAAAGGATCTGCTCAGATGTAAGAAAAAGATGGTTCTTACTCCTATGATTTATAATTCAAAGTGATCTGGTAACACCAAATAATGCAGCACGGCACATTTCAGTGGGAAATCCAGTTACAAGGGAGACGGCAACCTGTCACTGCAGAAACCAGTGACTGTCTCCCTCCACTGGTGAGCGATGACCTTTTCATTTTTGGGCTCCAAGTCAAGAGTATTTGTGGGTAATACTGAACCCATATAGAAGGTACTGAGATTGTTTTTTCCATCAACTGCCCGGTACACATCACAGTGGAGAGGAGAAGAGATGGGAAGGGAGGGGAGGGGAG